ATTGAGATGTGACACAGTGTGGTTAATTGATTAGTCTAACTAATGCACACGCCTCACTTCTGGAATCCAGCCCTGCCATAGATTCTCTCTCTCTGTATTTTGATAATTCCATTCTTCCAGTTGCTTAGCCTGAAATTTTTGGTGTCTTTCGTCCATGACTTCTTTTTTTCCCCACACCTCTTACCCAAGCATCAGCAAATCCCATTGGCCCTTTTCCAATGTCCTGGTCTCCTCCTCTGTGTTGACAGAGGCTGTAGCTTCCCTAGTTTTTCCTTATTGATGAACATTTCTTCGTCTGCATTTTATGTTGTAAATTTGTGTTGATGTCTTGGCTGATGTTGACTCAAATTCCATTTGTCCTTTGGGTTTATTGCTTCTGTACTTTATATTTCCTTGTCTTTTTTTCTTATTGAGACGGAGTCTAGCTCTGTTGCCAGGCTGGAGTGCAGTGGCGTGAACTCGGCTTACTGCAACCTCCGCCTCCCAGGTTCAACCGATTCTCCTGCCTCAGCCTCCCAAGTAGCTGGGATTACAGGCATGTGCCACCATGCCTAGCTAATTTTTGTATTTTTAGTAGAGACGGGTTTTCACCACGTTGGCCAGGATGGTCTCGATCTCCAGACCTTGTGATCTGCCCACCTTGGCCTCCCAAAATGCTGGGATTACAGGCGTGAGCCACCGCGCCTGGCCTTCCTTGTCTTTATATTGGGGTTAGAGATGGAAAGAACACATTGTGGTCAATGTAAGAGAGAGAGAGAGATATATATATAACTATTATAATGTGTGTGTGTGGTGTTAATCTATCATGTTTAACCTGAAGTCTATCATGTCTATATGAGGAAGGAAGAGGAACAAAATTTTAAAAAGATGATTGAGTCTGAGTATAGTATGAGACTCCGGTTGTTGGATGAAGAGTGTGAGCTGAATCTCCAGAGACAGCAAGAATGCACGTCTGACTTGAACTTGAGAGAAGGCCTTCTGAATCAAGTGATCCAACTTGCCACAGAGCTAGAGGAGATGTTCCAGGAAATGCTGCAGGTGAGATGTTGAAAACAACATCCTCTTAATATTTGAAAAATGAGAAAAAGAAGAGCTGAACATTATGTCAATTCCAGAATAACATATCCAGTGACAACCACACACGTATTAAATGAATTATATACCTACCTGGCAACTCTATTTCTATGAATTTATCTTCACATGCATATAAAAAGACATAAATAAAGCACAATATGCCTATAAATATATTTGTACACATATTACTCTATTATACTTCAAATATACTTACACACATAGAAAAAGATACCTGGATAAGGCAACACTGAAACTGAGTTTCAGTTTAGAGCCATGGTTTAGAATTCTCCTTTGAAGCCAGATGAATGGAGTTCCTATCTGAGTCAGCTGTTTACTGGCTCCTGGGTGGCCTACAACCTGCTGCTTAACCTTTGACTTGGTTCCTTTAGCTGTAAACTGCACATAACAATGGCCCCTAATTTATAAAATTATTGTGAGATTTGAGTGAGGTAATCTGCTAAGCTTATTAAACAGTGTCTTGCTTCATGTTAAGCAGTTGATGAGTAGGAGATATTACAATTATAACATTTATTCATAGCAAGAGGTTAGAAACACCCTGTATTTATCAATAGAAGACTCATAAAATGTGCTCTGCACACACATGGAAGAATACTCTTCAGCATGTTACGATGGTGTCACGGCTCTGTGTATATGAATAAGGAATGTTCTCCAAGAAAAAAGTAAGTTGTCGGATTAGTAATCAAATATAATAAACTATCACTTATGTTTATGTTCTTTCCCCCTAAATAACATACTCACGTTGCTTATGTGACTACCTATGTAAAGTATACTTGGAAGGATAAAAAGAAAACCAATATCAGTACATAATTATGTATTTCTTATTAGTTAATCTATATAACTTAATTTTAATTGATTTCCAGTTAATGAAAAAATAGGGAACCTTCTGAGCAGCCACAGAAAAAACATGAAATGTTTTAGGTACATGTTAATTTGAGTAAGGGCTGCATGTACCCACATCTGTGTCAGCTTACACATACATAATGGGGTCAAATAATCTACTGTCTCTTGAGAGGAATCCTGCTTCAACCATATCATGGTCTTGCCTAATTATGTCTATTCCTGGGGTAGCAGGCAGAAAAGCAGGTTTGTTTTGTTTTGTTTGGTTTTTTGGTTTTTTTTTCTTTGAGACAGAGTCTTGCTCTGTTGCTCAGGCTGGAGTGCAGTGGCACGATCTTGGCTCACTGCAACCTCTGCCTCCCGGGTTCAAGCAATTCTCCTGCCTCAGCCTCCTGAGTAGTTGGGATTATAGGCGCCCGCCATCACCCCTGGCTGATTTTTGTACTTTTAGTGGAGACCAAGTTTCACCATGTTGGCCAGGCTGGTCTTGAACACCTGACCTCATGATCTGCCGGCCTTGGCCACCCAAAGTGCTAGGATTACAGGCGTGAGCCACCGTGCCCAGCCGAAAAGCAGGTTTTTAAAGACATGGTTGAGTGAATCAATAGGAGAAGTTACCGAACTCTTGTTCCTGAACTTGAGGTTGTTAAATAGTAACAAAGAGATGCTTCTGCAGAGACTGAGCCATGTGGGGAGAGAGAACATGAAGAAACTGAAGGAGAGTGAAGCAAGGGTTTCTGAACAGATCTGCAGCCTCCAAAAACTCACCACGGAGCTTGAGAAGAAGTGTGGGGAAGACGCCTTAGTATTGCTCAAGGTAAGATGCTGGGGAAAGAAAATAAAATTCATTCCAGTATTTGAGAAATGAGAAGTGGACAGTACTCATTAGGGGTTGCCGCCAGAACACAATATCCAATGATCTTCAACTACCAAAGAAGACTGCACGACTATTTTTTAGCTGCCAAAAGCATTAGGAATGGTCGTAGCTTTGTGGGATAGTGTGGAGCTGCTTCATGAGATTAATTCTCACCTTAAAGCAGTAAGTTCGGATTGAGATGTGACACAGTGTGGTTAATTGATTAGTCAAATTATGATACATCCATACAATGAAATATTCTGTAATCATAAAGAATAAAACAGCTCTATAGGCACTACAAGAGTATCTTCAAGCACTCAAGTGAAAAAGAAAGATGCAGATTGCTTTTCGTTTGATCTTTCGAAAAGAAGTATATATACACACATATACATGTGTGCCTGCTAACAGTCACAGACTTTCTGGCAAAAATAAATAAATATATAGTCATCTGCGATGATCTTGAAACAAGGGTGAGATTATCTGCTATGGTCTGAATGTTTGTGTCCCTCCAAAATATTTATGTTGACATCCTCTTCCCCAAGGCGATGGTATTGGGAGGTGGGGCCTTTGGGTAGTGAGTGGGTCCTGGGGGCAGAGCCCCTGTGAGTAGGATTAGGGCCCTTATAAAAGAGGCGGAGGAAGACCTTGTGCCTTCGGCTTGTGAGGCTGGAGATGGAGGCTACCTAGGAGGGCTGGAGCCCTCAGCGGACACGGAATCTGCTGGTGCCTTGATCTGGAGATTCCCGGCCTCCAGAACCGCGAGAAATGAATTTCTGTTGTGAAGAAGCTACTCAGTCTGTGGTAAGTATTTGCATATTTTGAATTTTGTACAGTAACATACGTTTCCTTTTCAAAAAGTGGGTTATCTTTCTTTTTTTAGATGGAGTCTCACTCTGTTGCCCAGGCTGGAGTGCAGTGGTGTGATCTTGGCTCACTGCAATCTCTGCCTCCTGGGTTCAAGTGATTCTCCTGCCGCAGCCTCCCGAGTGGTTGGGATTACAGGCGCCCACCACCACACCCGGCTAATTTTTGTATTTTTAGTAGAGATGGAGTTTCACCGTTCTGGTCAGGCTTGTGTCAAACTCCTGACCTCAGGTGATCCACCCGCCTGGGCCTCCCGAAGTGCTGGAATTACAGGCATGAGCCACTGCGCCCGGCCTTACTGTCTTTTTAAGACTGTCCATATCCCTCTGCTAGGCTTATAATTGCAAGTGAATGCGCTCATCTGGAAAGCGTCTGCAGGTAAATCCTTAGGAAGCAGCTCAGTTCTTGATCATGCAGGCAGGTGTGGCTCTGCCTGCCTCCCACTGCCCTCCCAGACAGCAGCCCCTTGACCTGCTCAACTCTGGCCACCCCCTGCATGGAAAGCAGATAGATGCTCGCGTTCTGAAGACTGAGAAGTGATGGCTCTGAATAAGATGGCTGGGGTGAAGGATAGAAAACATTTTCCTTGGGGATACAACAACATGATTTCATGCATTTTTCTGACTTTTTCTGTTTCCATGTTAGAATTTGTTCATCTGATAACTAGCATTATGAGGCTGAAGACATGACATGGAAATTGAGTTTATTGTAGAGGATATTTTCCTGGGCACAGATTGCAAAAGACGGCTCAAAAACCCAGTAGTAACCCGGTCTCTTTTCTTTCCCTTAGAATGCAAAATACTCTTTAGAAAGGTGAGTTTTCATTTTGGATACAATTGGGTCAGAACCAGAGTCCAATAAGATGTTGATTGGGATAAGGAGAGTGCATTTGCTGGTAGGAGGTAATGGGATCCATCTACTAGACCAAGGGGTCTGTGGTCTGTGCGGATGACTGAGGCTGTCCTTTCCCTTCAGGAGCAAGTCACTGCTGCTTGAGCGTCTAGAGCCCGCTCATATCATAGACTTGAGTTTATGCCACATAAGAGGATTCAGCAGCATGTTCAGAGTACTCCAGAGTAAGTTGACACGTGTGAACGCTCACACGGCTCTGTTCTGTATTTGAGAATCGGGTGACCTTCCTGCCATAAATGGAAACAAATTCCAGTAGTTTAAAAATTTTAGGCCAGCATAGGGGGTCACTCCTGTAATCCCAGTACTTTGGGAGGCCAAGGCGGGCAGTTTGCTTGAGGCCAGGAGTTTGAGACCAGCCTAACCAACATAGTGAAGTCCCATCTCTACAAAAAACACGAAAATTAGCCAGTTGTGGTGGTGCACGCCTGCAGTTCCAGCTCCGTGAGTGGCTGAGGCAGGAGAATTGCTTGAACCCGGGGGGGCGGAGGTTGCAGTGAGCTGAGATCACACCACTGCACTCCAGCCTGGGCAACAGAACGAGACTCTATCTTAAATAAATAAATAAAAATTTTAGGAGACTGGAGAGCTGAATATGTTATACATATTAGATAACGATCAAGAAAATAACTGTATGATCTTATATGAAAGCTTTTCCCATGCACATTCTTTTTTATTTATTTATTTCTTTGGAGACGGAGTTTCGCTTTGCCTAGGCTAGAGTACGGTGGTACGATCTTGGCTCACTGCAGCCGCCCCTTCCTGGGTTCAAGCGATTCTCCTGCCTTGGCCTCCTGAGTAGCTGGAATTACAGGCATGCACCACCACACCTGGCTAATTTTTTGTATTTATAGTAGAGACGAGATTTTACCATGCTGGTCAGGCTGGTCTCGAACTCCTGATCTCAGGTGGTCTTCGTGCCTTGGGCTCCCAAAGTGGTGGGATTACAGGCGTGAGCCACCATGCCTGGCTGCAGATTCTTTACCAGTTTCCCAGCCATGAAACATGATTGCAGGCAGAGTCCACTGCTTAAAAATGTAAACTTCTAGGGGGAGAAATTCAGCATGTATAACAAAGGGTTTGTATCTCCTGTCCTTATAGCTTTGCCTTTTCCAGAGCGTCCTATTGATGGAATCCTACAGTGTGTGGCCTTTCGAGGCTGACAGCATACTGCAGTTGAGATACAGAATGTCCAGACTGCTTCATGTATCAGTAGTTTGCTCCTTTTCATTGTTGATAATATCCCATTGTAGAAATATACTGTAATTTATTTATCTTTTGCAATTCTATGGACATGGGTTGTTTCCAGCTCTGTGCTGTAAATATTAGCATGCAGGTTTTTCTGTGGGCATAGCTTCACAGTTCTTGATTAACTATCTAAGGGTGAGATTGTCAAACTTGTTTTCCAAACTACCTGTGCCATTTTGCCCTCCCACCAATAATGTGCAAGATTCAGTTACTCTATATTCTCACCAGCATTTGGTATTGTCAGTTTGTTTTACTACATCCAACCCAATAGATGTGTAGTGGTATCTCATTTTAATTTGCATTTCCAGAATGACTAATGATGTTGAGCATATTTTCATGTGTTTATTTTCCCTCTATCTCTACTTTGGTGAAATACATGTACAAACCCCTTTTTAAAATTGGGTTGTATGTTTCTTGAGTTTTATAATTTCTTTATATATTCTGTTTAGCAGTCATTTATCAGATATGTTTTGCAAATATTTCCTCCCAGTATGGTTTATATTCTCATTTTCCTAATAACTGCCTTTTGAAGTGTAGAGGTTTTGCATTCAATTTATCAATGTTTTTCTTTTATGATTTGTGCTTTTTGTGTCTTATTTGAGAAATTTTGCCAAAGCCAACAAAGATTTCCTTCTAAAAGTTTTATGGCTTTAGGTTTTACGGTTTTAGGTTTTACATTGTGGCCTATGAACCATTGAGAGTTAATATCTGTATACAGTTCACAGAATGGTGCAAACCCTCTCCTCCCCTCACCTTTTATTTTTATTTTTTGTCACATGTGTATCCATTTGTTCCAGTTTCATTTGTTAAAAACACTACCGTTGTCCATTCAATTTACTTGGCCCCTTTGTTGAAAATCAACTGGTATGTGTGACCAGATGTATTTGTGACTCTAAGAGGTCTATTGGTGGTTGACTCTATCCATGTGACCAGGTCTATTTGTGACTCTAAGAGGTCTATTGGTGGTTGACTCTATCCATGTGACCCAGGTCTATTTGTGACTGTAAGAGGTCTATTGGTTTTGACTCTATCCATGTGACCCAGGTCTATTTGTGACTGTAAGAGGTCTATTGATGGTTGACTCTATCCATGTGATCAGGTCTATTTGTGACTCTAAGAGGTCTATTGATGGTTGACTCTATCCATGTGATCAGGTCTATTTGTGACTCTAAGAGGTCTATTGATGGTTGACTGTATCCATGTGACCAGGTCTATTTGTGACTCTAAGAGGTCTATTGATGGTTGACTCCATCCATGTGACCAGGTCTATTTGTGACTCTAGGAGGTCTATTGATGGTTGACTCTATCCATATGACCAGGTCTATTTGTGACTCTTAAGAGGTCTGTTGGTTTTGACTCTATCCATGTGACCAGGTCTATTTGTGACTCTAAGAGGTCTATTGGTGGTTGACTCTATCCATGTGACCCAGGTCTATTTGTGACTCTAAGAGGTCTATTGGTTTTGACTCTATCCATGTGACCCAGGTCTACTTGTGACTCTAAGAGGTCTATTGATGGTTGACTATTCCTTTGCCAATAGCACATTGGCTTGAGTGATAACTCTGTAGGAAGTCTTGGAAGCAGGTACTGTGCATTCTCCAAATGTATTCATTTTCGGAATAGTTTTGGCTACTGTAGGTTGTTTGCTTTTCCACATAAATTTTGAAATCAGCTTGTTGGCTTCTTCAGAATGGACCGCTGGGATTTTTATTGATATTACATTGAATCCGTAGATCAATCTGGGAAGAATTGACATCTTGACAATATTTAGTGCTTTCAGTCCAGGAATACAAAATATCTCCATTTATTTAGGTCTTAGATTTCTCTCATTCGTGTTTTGTCACTTTCAGCATACAAATGTTATATGTATTTGGAGATGTATCCCTAAGTATTTTATGTTTTTTAGTACCGCTGTAAACGGTATTTTAAAATACCAATTTCTAATGGACATTTCATTCATTTCTAGTTCATTACAAGTATATAGAAATGGAATTGTTTTATATATATTAACATTTGTACCCTATTACTATGCAAAACTCATTCATTAGACAGTGGATTTCTGTAAATAGATCCTTCGGGGTTTTCTACAAAGTCATGCAGTATATGAGTATAGATAGCTTTATTTCTGCCTTTCCAGTCTGTAAGCCTTTTCTGTATTTTTCTTGCCGTATCATACTGGCTCAGACCTGCAGTGTGTTGAATAGAAGTGATGAGAGTGGACACTTGCTTATTCTTGATCTCAGGAAGAAAGAAGACATTAAGTCTTTACTGTAAATTCTGATACAGCTATAGGGCTTTTTGTTGTTTTGTATTTTGTTTTTTTGTTTTTTGAGATGATGTCTGGCTCTGTCACCCAGGTTGGAGTGCAATGATGAAGTCTCGTTCACTGCAACCTCCTCCCAGATTCAAACGATTCTCTTGCCTCAGCCTCCCGAGTAGCTGGGACTACAGGCGCGTGCCACGACACTCAGCTAATTTTTGTATTTTTAGTAGAGACGGGGTTTCACTCCATTGGTCAGGCTGGTCTCAAACTCCCAACCTCGTGATCTGCCTGCGTCGGGCTCCCAAAGTACTGGGATTACAGGCGTGAGTCATCGTGCCTGGCCCTAGCTATAGGTTTTTTTTATGACTGCCTTTCATCAAATTGAGGATGTCCCCCTTTATTTCTGGTTTACTAAGAATTTTTATCATGAATCAATGTTGAATTTATCAAGTTCTTTTTCTCTTGAGATGTTCCTGGTTTTTCTTCTTCAACCTTTTCTTGTTGTTGTTGTTTTTGAGATGAGTCTCGCTCTGTTGCCCAGGCTGGAGTGCAGTGGCACGATCTCGGCTCACTGCAACTTCTGCCTCCCAGATTCAAACGATGCTCCTGCCTCACCCTCCTGAGTAGCTGGGATTACAGGCTGCCACCAGGTCCGGCTAATTTTTGTAATTTTAATAGAGATAGGGTTTCGCCAGACTGGTCTCGAAGTCCTGGCCTCAAGTGATCCGTCTGCCTCGGCCTCCTGAAGTGCTGGGATTACAAGCGTGAACCAATGTGCCCGGCCACAGCTGTGCATTTTTCCAAAGATAATTTGCATTTGTTTCTGCCAGTCTCCTGGAAATACTGAGAGTCTCAGACAATTTATTTAAAATTCAAGACATGTAGCTTTTGAGACCAACCTAATAATGTGAATTGGCCTTCAAATTCAGAGATTTAAGTTAATTAAATTTACTGCAGTCAAATACTAGAAATTAAGTTGGATTCCACGTTACAGAAAGTAGGAAATAAAGGCTTTCCAGGTTTAAGACTTAGACAGCTGAAGCAGTAAGGGAGCTGTGAACTCCCTTAGTGAAGACTGCAGAGGGCTGGCCTTGAAGTTCCATTTTGGGTGTATTATGTTTGAAATTCCTGTGTTTTTTCCAGCTGGTATTTGGCTGTTTATAGAGTGAGTCATAAACACAGGGAAGGTCTTTAAAACTGAAGCACAGTTACCTGGAGGCAGCGAAGGAGAATATACTACTTGAAAGGGGTCCCAGGACCAAGCCCTGTGAAAGATCACGATAGTTAGAGGTTGGGCAGAAAGAGGTGAGAGGAACAGAGATAGGAAGAAGGTGTATTTGTGCAGGTATGAGGAATTCATTGAGCCTGCTTGTTCTTAGCGTGAGTTGCTGGAGGGTCCTCACAGGTGTTCTGTCCTCCACTGGTGAATTCTCTGATGTACTTACTGCCTGATGTCCAGGGCCTGTTGTCCGCAATTTCCAGGCCTCTATGTTACCCTGTGGAGATATTTAAGATGTGTAGAGTACATCATTGGGAGGGCCATGAATGAGTTGCTGCTAGCTTACTCCTCCGTCCGCTCCAGGCTTGGAGACCTGTAGAAGACCAGGGTTGGGTCCCAAGTGATATCTGGGTGGAACTTGGCACCAGAACAGTTTGACAGCCTCTGGGGTGAAGGTGTTTTTTGGTGTTTGTTTTGAGATGTTGTTTGTTTTGTTGTTTGTTTTGAGATGTTGTTTGTTTTGCTCTGTCGCCCAGGCTGGACTGCAGTGGCGTGATCTCGGCTCACTGCAACCTCTGCTTCCCGGGTTCAAGCAATTTTCTACCTCAGCCTCCCGAGAAGCTGGGATTATAGGCGTCCGCCACCACACCTGGCTAATTTTTGTATTTTTTAAAATAGAGACGGGGTTTTACCGTCTTGGCCAGGCTGGTCTTGAACCCCTGACCTTGTAAGCCACCGCGCCTGGCCGGGTGAAGGTGTTTCTAAACCTTCCTTAGCCCATTCATCTTTGTTTTATTCTTCCTGCTCAGGCAGACTGTGTCCCTTTCCATATCTTATGGACTTTTTCCTCCACAAGGTCCATATTGAAGTAAAGTTTAGAGGTTCCTTTTTCTGGACCCTCCCAAATTGCCTCTCCCGTGTCTGCGCCTGGGGCTTGTGCCCACTCAGTGGGAAGCCCAGGCATGTTAGAATCACGTCTCTGGCATTGGCATTGGTGAACTCCTACGTTAACGAGGGTTTTCTCTCCTGGCAGGACATTTAACGTTGGATCCGGAAACAGCTCATCCCTGCCTGGCCTTATCTGAGGACCTGAGAACTGTGAAACTGAGGCATGGGCAGCAAGATAGGGCTGACGACCCAGGAAGATTGGACTTCAGTGCCATGGTGCTGGCTGCGGAGAGCTTCACCTCAGGGCGGCACTACTGGGAGGTGGACGTGGAAAAGGCAACCAGGTGGCAAGTGGGCATATTCCACGGCTCTGCAGACACGAAGGGCAGCACAGCCAGAGCTTCCGGAGAGAAAGTCTTGCTCACAGGGTCGGTGATGGGCACGGAGTGGACCCTCTGGGTCTTCCCCCCTCTGAAAAGGCTCTTCCTGAAAAAGAAGTTGGACACAGTTGGGGTTTTCCTTGACTACGAACACGGGCAGATATCATTCTACAATGTGACCGAGACGTCCCTCATTTACAGTTTCTCCCATTGCGCCTTCCAAGGAGCTCTCAGGCCTGTGTTTTCCCTCTGTATCCCAAACGGAGACACAAGTCCAGACTCCCTCACCATCTCCCCGCAACACGGTGCTTCTTGTGATGCTGCTGTTAGCCCTTAATCTTCTGTGTGCAAACTCCAACACCACAAGAGACCAGAAAGTTGGAGAACAGGACATTGAAAGAATTTTTGTAAACTAACCCAATAAAAAGCGTTCCAGGAGTTGGAGCCTGATTTAATATCCGGAGCCTTTGCACTTGTGTAACTGTCAACACAAATGTGTGTAGTGGAAGAGGTTGCACTTAACTTGAATCATGAATGATAGTAACAGGGAAATCCTACACTAATGAGAACAAACGCATATGCATTGTAGGGTTGGGGAATTAGAGAAGAAATATAGTCTGAGGTCCTTAGAACTAGGTTAGGAACTCAATCTATTTCTGAAAACATTCGCAGAATCAGGTATAATCAGGAATGAAAGCAGGACTTTAGCTGTAAGCATGCCACCATGAGGAACAGAGACATCCCATTACTGACAGTGAGTATCAGGACCTTCCAAAATTTTTATTCCAAATAGAGAATAATAACTTAATTTATATAGATTTTTATGTGGATAAGAAGGAGGAGTTGTGGAAAATGTGAATATTTTAAAATTTTATTCTTTTTTTTTGAGACGGAATTTCACTCTTGTCGCCCAGGCTGGAGTGCAGCGGCTTGATCTCGGCTCACCACAACCTCCCCTGGTTCAAGCAGTTCTCCTGCCTTAGCCTCCCAAGTAGCTGGGGTTACAGGTGCCCACCACCACGCCCAGCTAATTTTTGTATTTTTAGTAGAAGCGGGGATTCACCGTGTTGACCAAGATGGTCTCGAACTCCTGACCTCAAGTGATCCACCCGCCTCGGCCTCCCAAAGTGCTCGAATTAGAGGTGTGAGCCACGGCGCCTGGCCTACCTCTTTCTGATAAGAACAATTTGATTTATTGGAAGAAGCCCGATAGGTAATGCTTTGAATCAGGTAAGTAATATCAATGATGCCTGGTGTTCACCCTGTTTCTCTATTTGGTGATCTACTGGCAAATGCTTTCCCTTACATCCTTGCTCAGGGATGGTTGTATAATGCTGAGAAAATAAGTATCTACACAGGGACTTTCATGTTTAAGTTTTATTATACTTTATCTCCTTTAATATTTTTAACAACCTATGAGTGTGCATTAATGTTACTACTCATATGTGGAAACTGATGCTCAGAGAGCTGGTTTGTTTTTTCTAATGTTATTTAGCTGTTACGTATCTAGTAACAAGGAGAAGGAATTAAATCCAGACCGTCATCGGATCAAAAAGCAAGCTCTGCCTTGACTCCTGTCACACAGGGATCTGTTGTAATGAGCATGACCAGGTGGAATGGGGTCCGGTTTTACTCAGATGTTCTGAAAATGCAGGTCAGTTCCCACAGAAGATAGGAGCAGTGTATCAGTTACACTGCCCTCTGTAGCTGGGCTCTGGCTTGTAGAGGCCAAGTTCTTTCTTTAGGACGGGCAGAGGAGGAAGGAACGAAAGGCAAATGTCAGAAAATTGCCTCTGTTGACTCATGGGAGTCAAGGAAGATGTAGGATCTTTTTGGGGCAACATTTTTGACCATTTCGAATTCCCAAAATGTGCTTTTAAAAGATGTGAATAAGTATATTCTGGTAAAGATACACCCTTGGAAAAGTCACAGTGTGTCTTTATGCTGAATCACAGGAAGAATTGGGGGAAGTGGCTCTGATTGGAAAAGTCAGGGTCAGGTTAGACACGTGAGCCGAAAGTGAGATAATTATTTGAAACATTGAGACGAAGAATTCAGAGCAGGCCAGGCACGGTGGCTCACACCTGTAATCCCAGCACTCTGGGAGGCCGAGGCAGGTGGATCACAAGGTCAGGAGATCGAGACCATCCTGGCCAACATAGTGAAACCCCATCTCTACTAAAATACAAAAAATTAGCCAGGCGTAGTGGTGCGCACCTGTAGTCCCAGCTACTCAGGAGGCTGAAGCAGGGGAATCACTTGAACCCGGGAAGTGGAGGTTGCAGTGAGCCGAGATTGCACCACTCCTCTGCACTCCAGCCTCGCGACAGAGCAAGACTCTGTCTCAAAAGAATTCGGAGCAACGGCTCAAACCCTTACCTAATTTTTTAAGAAAAGATAATGATGAGTCATAAAGGAAAATGTGAGATGATTTAGCAATAAATGTGTGATTAATGTTCAAAACCCAATAATACACATCTCCATGTCTAGCTACTGCAAATTATAAGCTAAAATAAATACTTTGGATCAAACATTGCTATACAACCCCCAACATAAAAATAAAATTGTTTATAATAAGCTAGAACATATGATAAGCCAAACTAGTGGTTCTCAAAATTGCCCCAACTCCAGAGGGAACATTTGACAATGTCTGCAGCAGGTTTTTAGTTGTCACCAGAAGATCAGTGCCACCGGAATCTAGTGAGTAGAGACCAGTGATGCTGCAGTGTATCCTACGGTGGACAGTGCACCCGATGCACAAAGAATTATTCGGCTCAAAACACAGTAGTGCCGAGGCTGAGGAACCGTGATCTAAACCAACAATAATAGTAAAAAACAGGCCGGGCACGGTGGCTCAAGCCTGTAATCCCAGCACTTTGGGAGGCTGAGACGGGCGGATCACGAGGTCAGGAGATCGAGACCATCCTGGCTAACACGGTGAAACCCCGTCTCTACTAAAAAATATAAAAAAACTAGCTGGGCGAGGTGGCAGGCGCCTGTAGTCCCAGCTACTTGGGAGACGAGGCAGGAGAATGGCGGGAACCCGGGAGGCGGAGCTTGCAGTGAGCTGAGATCCGGCCACTGCACTCCAGCCTGAGTGACAGAGCGAGACTTCCGTCTCAAAAAAAAAAAAAAAAAAAGTAAAAAACAAGAGTAGCAAACTTTGAAAACTCAAATCAGAATGTTGTTAAGCCATTATCTGCAGTCTTTCTCCATAGTACAGGAATTCCTAATGTACCCATTTAGTGAGGGCTTTGCAAGTTATATTTATAACTTGGCACGATCTCTGCTCACTGAAACCTCCACCTCCCGGGTTTAAGGGATTCTTCTGCCTCAGCCTCCCAAGTAGCTGGGATTACAGGCGCCCACCACCACACTCAGCTAATTTTTGTATTTTTAGTAGAGACGGGATTTCACTATATTGGTCAGGCTGCAAGTTATTTATTAACAGCTAATTATCTTAGAATATTGAATTTAAGAGAAAATAAATTAATATATTGACCTTACCTTGTGAATATCATAATAACTAAGTAGGTTATTAGTTAAATACTTTGGTCATAATTCTGTACATTTTCATCCGTTTTGTTTGTTTGTTTTTGAGATTGACTCTCTGTTGCCCAGGCTGGAGTGCAGTGGCACGGTCTCGGCTCACTGCAACCTCTGCCACCTGGGTTCAAGCAATTCTCTTGCCTCAGCCTCCAGAGTAGCTGGGATTACAGGCACGCCACCAGGGCCAGCTAATTTCCTGTATTTAGTAGAGATGGGATTTCACCGGGTTAGCCAGGATGGTCTCGATCTCCTGACGTCATGATCCGCCTGCCTCAGTCTCCCAAAGTGCTGGGATTACAGGCGTGAGCCACCACGCCTGGCCTTTCATCCATATTTTTAAAAACACATTCATAATGTCCAAAAACTCCAGTTCCAACTAGTTCTGCCTCCTGCAAGACCCCCTTTGAACCTTCCAACCCAGACCCTGTGTCTTCCCCCTGTTTCTCTGTTCTGACACACGGATAAGACTGTCGGGGTTGTGTTCTTATGACAGAGAGCCTGACTTAGAGCTTTGTTCGACCAACAGGGTTTTCGGATGATCTTCCAAGGAGTCCAGCAGTCAACAATTTCTCATCTTTTGAGCAACAAATAATTACAAATTCACCTTCACCTATTCTTTCTCCTCTCTTGCAATCAACCAATTTTTTCCTACCTTGTATTGCCTCCAAATTCCTGTGGGCTTTTAGGAAATCCTCACCCGGAGATCAGGGCTTGGCAAACTTTTTCTGTAAAACTAGGTAATTAATATCTTAGACTTTACTGGTCGTACTGCCCCTCTTGAAACTAACTCTGCTGCTATAGTGCATGCACAGCCAGGACAGTGCTTAAATTAATGCATGTGGCTCTACTCTTCCAATAAAACTTTATTTATAAAAACAGGGGCCACGGTTTGCCTACCCCTACTATAGATGATTCCTTTTCTCTTTTCAATATTGAAACGATTCCTCAATCAGGACCTTCTAAAATTAACTTTTAAAAAGCTAACGTAGGCCGGATGTGGTGGTTCCTCCTGTAAGATGTGCACTTCAGGAGGCCCAGGCAGGATGATACCTTGAAGCCGGGACTTCGCGACCAGCCTGGGCAACACAGGGAGACCCTGTCTCTACAAAAGATAAATTAGCCGGGCATGGTGGCTTGCACCTGTGGTCCCAGCTACAGGGAAGAGTGAGGTGGGAGGATCACTTGAGCCCAGAGTTTGAGGCTACAGTGAGCTATGATTGCACCATTGCACTCCAGCTTGGACAACAGAGAGATGTTGTCTCCAAAAAAACGTATGTGTAACTGTATCTCCTGTTTTTTTTTTTTTGTTTTTTTGTTTTGAGACAGAGTCTCGCTCTGTCTCCCAGGCTAGAGTACAGTGGCGTGATCTCAGCTCACTGCAACCTCCACCTCCTGGGTTCAAGCAATTCTCCTGCCTCAGCCTCCCGAGTAGCTGGGATTACAGCCATGTGTCACAAAGCCTGGCTAGTTTTTGTATTTTTAGTAAAGACCAGGTTTCATCATATTGGCCAGGCTGGTCTTGAACTCCTGAACTTGTGATCCACCCACCTTGGCCTCCTAGATGCACTCTGGTGTGTGTGTTGGTTTATGCTATCCACTTCTGTGTTCAGTCCAATCTGCTTTCTGTCTCTTTCTGCCTACAGGCCTTAATCGCTTTCATATTGCTAAATCCAACTGATTTTATTCCTTTTTTTTTTCTTTTAAGATGGAGTTTCATTCTTGTTCCCTAGGTTGGAGTGCAGTGGTGCGATCTCAGCTCACCACAACCTCTGCCTCCCAGGTTCAAGTGACTCCCCTGCCTCAGCCTCCCAGGTAGCTAGGATTACAGGCATCCGCCACCACGCCCAGCTAATTTTGTATTTTCAGTGGAGACAGGGTTTCTCCATGTT